ACTCATCTGCAGGAACAAGAAAGTCAAGGCTCAGTTAAGATCAAGCATAATCAGAGCAAAATCAAAATCGGAATCAAAACGTGACGATTCCGAAGCAAATTGAAAAGCTTGTGAAGAATGAAGCGTTGAGGGAGAAAGCGAACTCACCAGTGAGTTGTGCCAATGTCGTGAAAGGGATTTGCATAGTGAGGAGGCGAATCACCAGAAGAAGAACAAAGAGCAAGGGAATCAAATCCCTAAATCAAAATTTGGGGATAAGGCAAATGAATCAAGAGGGAGTGTTGGATGTTGATTCATAACTTAATCCTACATAAGAGAAAAGAAAAAGAGAAGTGTGAGAAGATGAAGATGATGATGAAAGGAGAAGAATCGTAAGAAGCATAAGGTGAAGAGAAGACCAAGTGTTTTGTCGTAGAAGGAGGAAGAAGAAGAAAGAAGAAAAGGTCATCGGGCCATATAAGTAATCAGGGCCCATATGTGTTAATGAGTTTCGTTTATTAAGAAGAGTATTAGGTTATATGGTTGTAAGAGAACATTATCTAAGTGATTAACAATATAGTCTTTGGAGGAAAACGGCTTTTGTGTCTCTCTAGAACAAACACACCAAATCTGAGTGAGAGATAGAGAGGAAGAGATCTAACTAAAGAGATCTAAACATTCTCTTCTCTCTACTTAACAAAAATCAAAACGTTTTTGATTCAGTTAACTGTAAAAAACATATAAACACTTTTATAAAATTATAAATTATACATTATTTAATATATAATATGAAAACCAAATAAAATCGATACATCGCGGATATATCAAATTTCTACATTATATCAAAACCAAATCGGTACATTGCGGGTTGAATAAAAAACTTAATGAATATATTAGAAATTTGATATATCCATAATCAAAAAGTTTATACGATATTAAATTTTGATACAGATATATAAAATAATACACATGTTTAACCACATTAAAACCCCTTCTCCTAATTAAAAATTTAACAACAAACAAAACAAAAAAAAAAACATATTTTATAAATTGTGTATATAGAACATTATCAAATACTTAATAGGAAAACTGCATAAAACCGATGCCCGTGGTGAACCGCGGGTTGAATCCTAGTTTAGTATATAATAATACCAAAATCAATCCGTGCGTGGAGTCTATATTTTTATTTTAGAATCTCAATATTTCATTTTAAAATATTACGTGCACAATCTATTATTCGTTAATTCTAAAATTGCTTGCGGAATCAAATTTTCAAATATTTAGAGGTGTCAAACCATATTTAAATGTTCTACACTATTTTTAAATATTCCAAATTAAAATCTTTAATTTTTTTTTGTAGTTTATAAAATTATAAATTTCAAAAAACAAATTATATGAAATTAAATATAACTATTCAAATAGTTATAAGGATCAAAACTCATTTCATCATATAATATATTATATTTAACCCGCTACCTATTATAAATATTTTTAAAAATAATCAAATTAGAGTATTTATAATTTTTAACTTTTTGAACTATTAAGTATTGATGATATTCTCTAAAAATATCAAGTAAAACTTATTTTAAATGTTGCAAATTAAAATATTTAAATTTTTATTGTAGTATATAAAATTATACATTTCAAAAAAATAAATGTATGAAATCGAATATAAATATTCAAAATCTGACCCGTTGCTCAGTCGGAATTTTTGTTGACTTTATTTTTGTGTAAAAGAAATATATTACTCAAGTCTGAATTTTTGACCGTTTAATTGTTTCTTTTATAGATTGAACAATTTATATGCGTTTTTAAAAGTTCAAATCTTGGCATATGTAGAAAAAAAAATTATTTTTTTATTATGTAGATTATATGATGATTTATTTGTTTCATATTAATATAATCATATAAAGATGAGAGGTGAAGTTTAATGATTAATAACAAATTAATACGGTAAGTTAGATATCAAATATTATATGTTCATTTGATTGGTCATTTTAAAAAAATAAATAACAGATTTTCGTTTTATAATTTAATTAAATTAATTAAATGACATAAATTAGTATTTTACTTCTTTATCCTTAATAAATTGAATGAAATTTGTTCTAAAAAAAAGATTGTTGTAATGGCATTCTTAAGTAAATTCTTACAAAAGGAAAGGTTAGTTAAGGGTATCTTATAAAGTGTACTCCCCAAATAATAGTATCCCCTTATTATTAAAAGGGAAGTACAAATTGAAAAATGGTCTAATTTGCCATCAATTTCAATTTCAATTTTAGATTTTGTAGTGTGTTTTATGAAATTGGAAAGGTTAAATTGGTCAAGAAATCTCATTAAACACTTAAAGATCCGCGTGTTTAGTATATGGGTGGGTATTGGATCAAATATTTGCAAAAACGGGTAATCGAATTTGTGGGTCAATGCTTCTTCAAACGGGTCATCGATTTTTTTTGTTCTTTGTTTTTCTCAGAGATAATCTTCTTTTCCTTCATGTCCGTAAAAGGAGATTATTACTCCTTTGAGAAATTCAATTCAAGCACAGAAATTCAAAGCTTGGAGTTTCAACCTCTATAAAGGAATTTAATCGAACACTTGGTGTGCCAAATGAAGCAGAAATGGTTGTCCCTGTTATTGTTGATACTCTGTTTCTTTGCGACTTCTCTTGTGATGGGCATTCATGGAAAACGGCTAATCAACGACGACTTCAACGAAACTGCTCTGTTAATGGCGTTCAAGCAAATCTCTTCAATATTGTGAAATAATCTGTATTTGTGAAAAACATCTCGATTGGTTTTTTTTTGGGTCATTGGTTCTTCAATCAGTAAAAGAAAACAGATCTGGTCATTACGATTCGCGTGCTTTAATTAAACGAATCATATAAATATAAATATGAAAGAGATGTTCACGTAGAACTAAAATCAGAATCTAAAAAAAAAAAAATCATTTCTTTCGTTGCTAACTTAGAAATCAATAAGTACTTCTTTGAATCTAGCATATTTCGTGTAGAAAAAAAGAGAAAACAAGAAAAACTGATGAATATCAATGGCAAGATTTTTGGTTTTGCAGAAATCGAGTTCTAAAATCTGAAGGAAGAAGATGAGGGTAATTTCGTCATTTACCCGCTATTAAAAAAAAAAAGTTTTGTTAAATTGATGTTTCGAACTCGTGACCTACAGGCAAACGAAACGCTATCAAACCAACAGACTACGACATATTGTTGGTGATGCCTTCAATGTATGATTTATAAACCACATCGGGTTAAGCTATTTATTTAGTTTAAAATGATGATGTTCTAAATTTCCATTTATTCTTTTTTTTTTTTCTATTATTTGTTATATAAGAAATTAAATTCATAATCTATGTTTATTAGTCAGTTATTAATAAAATCTTTTTTCAAATCTTAACAATAAATTTAAAATATACGTAGATACAAATATATAAATAATCTTATAAATATTCTCAAGATTCAATTTTGTATTTTTGTTATTAACTTTCCAAAATTTTCCAAAAAATAAGGAAATATATTTAAACACTTTTCAAAAACGAGATTAGATATTAAAATAAATTTATACTCTAATCAATCTAATTAGTTTAAGAAATCTCTATACAAATCTAAATAGTTTCCTACATTTATGTTTTAATGTCGATTTAATATTATAAATATGTACATATATTATAAATACTATCAAAATGTGATCTTACCAAAAAAGATTGTAATCTTTTAGATTTGATTCGATAATTTATTATATAAGATTATATTTGATTAACCCTAAAATTATAGCCGACTGTCTTAACACTATAAATATAGTACTCTGATTGTGTTATTCTCATATCGTTCAAAATTTCACTGCAAATATAAAGTTTTCTCTGCTCTTCTCAAAAAATGGAAATAATTCATTTTCTTTCAATAGATATTCTTTATATTAGAATATGATATAAAAAATATGATTTCTATGATTTTTTGTTTCTATTCTTCTGAAATGTTTTGACTCTACTGTTTAAATTATTGATTCAGTGCTTGGTTTTAGATACTAGGTTTGATTATCATCAAGTCTTAGGTTTGGATGTTGATACCCTTTTGATATGGACACATCCAAGGAAAATATAACAAAATGTAGGCATAATATAGATCGTCGAAGAACCAATCGTATTTTATTTTTTGTATTAATTTTCTTTTCAATTGTGTTTTATTAAATCTATTCCAATTCTATCATCTTCAATTTATATGTCAAACACATTCCAATTTTAATTTTTTTTTTTCATATAAGGTCTATGAGTGGACAACAATGGCGGGGTGAATGATAAGTCAAAGAGGATATCCGACTGGAGTTAGGGTTTCAATTTTTAATATTTCCTTTAATTTTGATTTTGTCTCTACTTAAAACTTTATGTTTTTTAGCAATATGCTAAAGGTTTAAATATAATAGAAACAATTATTCTTTTTACATTTGAAGTTGTAAAAGAGACAACTTTAAATTTTAATTTGTATTTTATTTGACGGGTTATATACACAGGTTAATTAGCTTATTTTCATTTGAAATATCAATAAAATCTCAAATCATATAATTTTAATAATAATTCAAACTTATAAAGTCTTCTTTTAAAGATCCACGAAATTTCTCCAAAATTTTTGAATTTACAAAACAGTAAAAATGTAAGATCACAATATTCTCTAGAAGATAAAAATTACTGTTAGACACCTGAAAATTATAATACTTTAACTATATTAAATTTTGATACAAATATATTAAATAATACACATGTTTAACCACATTAAAACACATTCTCCTTTTTTGAAAATTTAACAACCACCAAAAAAAACATATGTTATAATTATAAATTATAAATTATCAAATACTTAATAGGAAAACCGAATAAAACCGATACCCGCGGAGTACCGCGGGTTGAATCCTAGTAGGATAATTAAAAGAAGAGTACAAATTAAAGAATGACCCAAAATCATTAGTTTAATTACTTCAATTGTCACTCAATTATACATCTAAGAATTGATTGATTTAAATTGAAAAAGATAAATTAGAGATTGTGTTTAATCAAATGAAGAATCCGAACCTTTTCGCCCGTTTTACGTGGATCTTCAGAACAAGAGCCGAAGAAATTGCAATGGCGGAATCTTTGAATCTTCAGTTGAAAGCGAGAGATATTCTTGTGAGTCAAAGCCACGAAGAATTAGCGATGATCGTCGATCATCTCTTTATGCGTCAAGAATACAAAACAGCTCGTGTTCTCTACGATTTATGCGTTTCTTGTAACCCAGGTTGCTTAGCCCTAAAGCTTCTTAAGCTCTATCAATCTTCTTCCAATGGCGTCACCAGATTCCGATCAATCTATCTACTTTCTGAAACCCTCACCGATTTCAGAAACCGCAACTTTGAACTCTCTCGCGACTCTCTCTATGAAATCAAACCCCTTTTGATTTCATGCTTGACAAATCAAGAAACCAAAGAATCTGACATCAAGATCCTCAAAAAAATCGTTTATTTTGTAGCTTATAATGTTGTGTTGTTGCATGATGGCAAATGGGACGAGCTTGGTGATTGTATCTTAACGTTAGCGAATAGCAAAGAACCTGTTAAGGCTTTTCATGTCTTCATCGATTTGCCACCAGTCTACAAGAGTTTGATTGATAAGTTTATGCACAAAATTTTAGAGGAAGCTAGTAATGTCGTTCTTGATCCTTATAGAGTTGGAGATTGGAGCTTGGCTTTACAAACTTTTGTTAAAATGTGGATTCAGCTATTGAGTACAGGGATGAGATTCGAGTTATTAAAGGCGTTAATGGAGATTCGGGTTTCCTCTGTTGTGAATTCAGTGATTGAGTTAGTGAATAAGGAAAAGGAAGAGTTTTTGGTTCAAGGGCTTGAAGATTTCGAGAGGTTCTTCTCACGAGATATGAATCTTTATCATTACGCTAAAGATCAATGCTATTTTGTGTCGGCTTTAGTGATCAAGATCGAAGGAGTCGGGACACATTTGACCAAGGAGATTGTGAGGAAGATCAAAATGTTGGTTACAGAACTGGACAATCCTGCCATTAAACCACAGGATGATCTTAAGAATTGTAGAGAAGAGTTTGATCGTGGCTGGTATGACCATTTGAAGAGTTTATCTTCATTGGAAGTGTTAAAGATCTTCGCGTCTACGGAACTTGAAGATAGGTCTAGAGAGATAGCAATCAGAAGGGTCAATGCCTTACTATCTGATCACATTTCAAAGAAGGTGAATATAGACATTGCAGAGATGAGAGAACTCCAACCATTGCTCATGTCTTGCTTAAAGGAAGAAGGAATCTCTTACAGTATGTTTAAAGTCCTAGGTCAGGTGGTGAACTATGTTGCTTATGAGATGTTGGTCTACCAAGATGAGACATGCTATGAGCTACGCGATTATATTGCATCGAGTAAAACAGAGTTTCGGAGAGCGGTTTATATCTTCCAGTGTTTAACGATGGCGCTTGTTGATGATGATTTTGTGATTCCTGTGATGGAGAAACTTTTCCCAGAGATAATCACAAGGCTAGACCCACCAACAGAGTTGTTGGTAGATAACAGTTGCTGGGTCATGGTGTTTAGTGGTGCTTTCTGTGCAGCAATTCACTTGATAGAGGACCCAGGTTACGCTAAATCCGTTAAAGAGATTGCACATAAGATGATAGATTCTATAAAAGAGCTTGTGGGAAGAGAAATGGAAGTTGGGCTTGTTAGGAGAGCTTTCAGAGATGTGGAGAGTATTGTGAAGAAACAATTGGAATGGTACAGTACAAGCCAATACAAATTCGTTAAGGGTCTGCTTTGGAGACTCTATGCAATCAAAGGCATGAAATGGGAAAGTAAGATTGTGTTGTGGAGAATCAATGTGATTGTCGAGAGAGGAGTGAAAGAAGTGGAGAAACAGCTACCAGAGACTGAGTTTGATTGGCTGAATCTTACTGATGATGAGTTTGAATAGAAAAAAAATAGTTTTTGGTGTATAGTCTTAAATTGTGTAGAGTCTAGTTTTTGGTGTATAGTCTGAAGTTGTGCAGAGTCTAGTTTTTGGTTTATAATTTGCATTCGAGAAGAAACTTGTACAGAAAGAGAGTTTCGGAAAATGTACTTAGTTCTTGAAAATACTCTATCTTGAGAGTTGACTTAATAATCTTTATCATGCTAAACTTTGACACAAGACTCCACGTTCCAGCACATTGTGACACAAGACTGTGGATATTGAGACGCCTGATGCTATAGAATAAAGGCCCAGCCCAAACCAGATTCCTTATTGTTTTATAAATAGCTAGGGTTATGTTAAATAAACTTATTGCTTGCTCTCCACTCTTCCCGTGAAATAAACCGTCTAAAGCTGTTTTCATCTTCTCCATGGCCAGTTCTAGCAAAGAATCAGCCGCCAAAGCCAATTTATTTGGTTGGTTTTGTGTGGCTCTCTCTTATCTAATGTAGTATACTGTTCACTTACTTTTTTTTTTTGCTAAATTGTAAATATTTCATAGATATGAAAACAGTTTAGGTTACAATCAAGAGATTGAAACCTATACATATGGTTCCAAGGCAAAAAGATAAAACAAGGAAGCATAAGACGGTAATTAAACCAAGTATTCGGTCCATATACTCAACCAAGCAATGAAGCTTTGGGAGCAAGATGAAGCGATGACGTTCTTGGTATCCTTCCCGGAAGAGAAGCAAAAGGAGAAGCGCGAAAGCAGATTGTGAAACACCATGATGCGTCGGGCCATCAGCTATAGAAGGCTTTCGCAGGAGGCCCTAGAACGAGCCGTCAACGGTTAAAAACACCAAATCATCGATCACATATTCTCCCTGCATCATGTGAGATAGCGATTTATTGTTTCAAAACCATGAGCTTTCCCTGAAAAGGAACCTCACTTGCCAAATTATGCAAAAGGTGCAAGCTCTCTCTACTAAGTTCATTCCCCGAAGTCAGCAGCGCAGAGCAAGTTAAGACCATTCAGCACCACACCAGAAGCCATTAGCCCTACTAGCTCCTCTAAAGCACAACCAAGACGCAAGGAAGAGGCGAGAACGCAAAGCAAGGCAATCTTCAAACAGAAGCACCAACAACAGGAAGCAATAACAGAGAACAAGCCTTGAACTATACCAAAGAAAAGATATACCTGCGGAGCTCTCAAAAGGTGAGGAGAGCTAGCTACCACCGATAGCTAAAGCCTCAACTTAACAAACACCACTGCAGCTACTCAAAGGAGCAACCGGCTCGACGAGTGAACTTGACCAGCCACAGAAAACACACTCCTAATAATCCTGCTACTGTCCTCAAGCAGAAGGTGCCAACAGAGATGTGATTCTCCAAAATCAAGGCTCGACGAAAACCAGAAACCAAAAAGGCCTCCTAAAGAAGCCAAGCTCTGAAAACCTATGCAGAGGAGAACCAAAAAGAGAAGCCGAGGCATCAGAAGCTCACCGGGTCAATGAACAACACGAACCCAGGCTGGCAAAGCCAACGAAGAGCCAAAGAAAACCTCTCAAATCAGCCTCCAACACACGAAATCGACATGAACAGAGAGGACAGAGGCTTCAAACGTGTGGGAGTAAGCCGTCCTCAAAGCGAACCACCCGACACAGAGAAACCTAGAACTCCGGTAGACACAAGCCGAATCGTGACGGTTAGACCAAGCAAGTACTTGGAAAAAATGAATCCGGGAGGGGAGGAGAAACCAAAGCAAAGCTGAGGGAATCACAATCGACCACCGGAAGCACCAGGAAGAAGGTGATCTAGAATAGATCTACAAACCGAGGTTTGCTCCGCCGCTGAAGATGCGAGACGCTAGGACCAGAAAACAGAGCCTCCACCTTGGCCCAACACCGTCTACAGGCAGTGGAGGTAGAGAGCAAGCGAAACTGGCCACCGGAGAACGGTCGTCGCGCACGGTGGACCTTCGACACTCGCCACGAAGATTCAGAACCGAATCAAAACTCCAGAATCTTCAAGGACTGATGGAATTAGAACAAGGAAAACTTAAAAGCCCTCTCACAGAGCCGGTCGCAACCGGACACCGGAGAGGCAAGATCGCGGCGAATTGAGGTTTGCGCAGAAAAACCAAAGTCGAGAGAAAAGATTTGGGGGCGCGTTGTGTTCACTTACTTACTTGGCTGTTCGCTTAATCTTATAGGTAAGCGAAAGCCGGAAGATGATTTGGAGACCAAACCAATTCTCAAGAAACATAAAGAAACATCCGAGGAGAAGGTAACCCTAAGATGGTCGGATTCCTCTTGTTCCTTTAAAACAATCTTCTTTACATTTGTCTTCTAATGGCTACTCGAAAGATAACTTATTATGGGGATTTATATTTTTTGGTTATGCAATTTTAAGTCCTTTTCTGATCCTTAGAGTTGTGCTAACACACTTGCATGTTATATTCAGGAAGCTGCCATAACAAAAACGCTCTATGTTACCAATCTCAATCGCAACATTAAAATATCAGATATGTAAGCAGCATCTTAAACTTCTACTTTCGTTCTCGGAGCAAGTTTTTCATGATCTAATATTTAATATATCCTCCGTATTTACAGCATCAATTTCTTCAAAGATGTTGGAGAAGTTGTTCATGTTCGACTTATTGTAAACAGCAAGGGCTGTTATGCGTGCTGGTGCTTTGTTGAGTTTGCTTCTGCTAACGAAGCAGAGAAGGTGAGAGTAGTTTTGTAGTAATTATGAAAAATGCATTTTAGTAGTCATTTGAAAAGTAGTGTATACTTATGATGAAAATTATACAAGTAGTTATTTGAAAGTACCATTGCTGATAAAATCTTTTATACTCTAGGTTCTGATACATAAGAACGGTGAATATTTGGACGATCGCAAGATTTTTCTTGAAGCGGTTAAGACAGTTCCATTCAGTCCACCAAAGTAAATTGGTTTTCCATATTATATAGATTAGTTTATGTAACACTAGTAGCTTATATCTAGAGTTTTGATGCCATATAGAAGACTAACACTAATTTTTGTTAATTAGGTATTGCATAGAATATCACAAGGATTGGTAAGGGATTTAACTATTTTTGCATCTTGAGTTTATCAAGAGCACATTGGGTAAAGTTTTTGGTATACATGGAGATATCACAAGGGTTTTTAATATTCTAGGTACGAAGACTACCTTCGACAAGAAAACCTTCTGATTGAAGAAGATGAGGCAGTGGAAGGACTTGAGGTACATGTTCTGACTAGATGAGGATACTTTTTGTTGTTATGCAATTTTAAGTCTTTTTTCCTTAGAGTCGTGCTAACACACTTGGGTGTTAAATTTAGGAAGTGGCCGCAAGAAAAAAGATACTCTTTGTTGCCAATCTCCCTACTGACTGTCAAATAATACCAAATATGTAAGTAGCACCTTTTATTTCCTCTTACGTTTTTCAGGACTCATATTTTATCATCCATTTTCACAGCATCAAATTCTTTGAAGATGTTGGAGAAGTTGTTCATGTTCGAATTATTGTAGACCACATGGGTGAGCATGTGGACTGTGGCTTTGTTGAGTTTGCTTCTTCTAACGAAGCAGAGAAGGTGAGAGTAGTTTATAATAATGATGAAAACTATCTAAGTAGTCATTAGAATTTTAATAGTCATTTCAAAAGTAGTGTATACTTATAATGAAAATATACATTTGACAGTACGATTTGATCTGATTAAACCTTTTATGCCGTAGGCGATGGAAAAGAAGAATGGTCAATATTTGCGCTATTGTCGGATTTTTCTTGGCGTGGTTGAGAAAGCTCCATACCTTCTCCGACCCAAGTAAAGTTATTTTTGCTATAGTTTTGATGTCATATAACAGATGATTAACGCTATTATTTTTGTTGATTAGGTACAACCTTGCAGAGAAGCTTTGGTAAGGGAATTAACTATTTGCCTTTTGTGTTTTATGAAGATCACATTGGGTGATTTTTTTGAATACATGGAGAGATCACAAGGGCTTTTGATATATTCCAGGTACGAAAACAACCTTAGACAAGGAAGGCATTTGAAGACCAAATCGAATCTGAAGAAACAGAAGCCAAGTATAGTGGGTTTATTATGCCGTCAGACGATTATATTCTCTGACGATGGCGACGACTGATAGAAGAAGATGAAGCTCTTTGGTATTTTTAACTTGTGATACAATGCAACTTCTTTTTATTACTTGGGTTTCCTTTTGTTCTAGTGTAAGGTTTTGTTTGAACGTACGCTAAAATATGCTTAGTTTTGAATGTTTTGGTGTTAAATTATTATCTACCTTAATTATTACCTAAGTAAGAGCCGTATACAAATTTCAACTGATTTGGTTGACAAAACCATAATCTCCCGAGGAACACAAATTTAGTTTTCTCATATTTAGACTTTAAGAATTAAGACTCAACTTAGTCGGGTAGATTCAGTCTTTCATATCTTTCACCAAATTCAAAAGGAGTCTTGGTAACTCAAGACCGAGAGTCCGAGACATTAGCTTGATATCATTAAAATTAAATATTTAATCTTTGTTTCAGTTATATACATCTTATTATATCGTGACATGTGTCATGTCTATCGATCAGATTTTGACAAATATAAAAAATAATATAATAAATTACAAATCAGAAAATTAAAAAAATTACAATTGTTTCGTTTTTGAAAAGGTATATAAAATATATAAATAAAAAAGAAAGTATACAATAAATTACAAATCCTAAAGTTAAAAATATTATTGATAGTTTTTTTCAAAAGATATATTAAAAATAATATAGTAAATATATAGTAAACTACTAATTGTAAAATGAAAAGAATTACATTAGTACAATTACCATAAAACTAGCTTGTTTAATTTGAGGCCAGAAATTTCTTTGTTCAGTCGACACACATAGTACTTCGGACAGTATGAATCAACGAATCCTAGAGGTTGAGCCATGTACACTTTTTCCGTGAATGTGCCTTGGAGAAAGGCATGATTGACATCAAGTTATCAAAGTGACCAAGAATGATTTTTTGCGTGACCAAGAACAAGTCTTGTTGAGGTAGACTTGATTACTGAACTAAAAGATTCTTTATAGTCAAGTCCATATTCTTGATGAAATCCCTCAAAAACAAGGCGAGCTTTGTACTTGTAGAGATATTACCAGTTGAAAAGAGTTTCACCTTGAACACCCATTTACACGATATGTTGTTCATTAGGTTCTAATAGTTTCTTGTTTGAGAAACTTTGATGTTTATACTCTTTAGAATCCACCAATGGAGGTGACCTTAGTAAATTTGGTTTTGTATTCCATTTGTTCGGAAAGTCATTTCTCATTTATCGGACTTTTAATTCCGAAGTACTTATCTAAAAACGTCGGGTTTGTTTCTGGAAGGGTTTTAACGCTTATTGGGGTTTGTCACCAGAAGGATCTCGACCTTTGCCTGCTTTGTATTGTGTAATTATTGTTCCAATACCAACAAAATACCTCTGCATAAAGGAAAAAAATTGTATTAAACTAACGTACGGAAAAACAAACCTATCAAAAGTAGTGTGTTTTGGCATAAAGAAAACTCATAAAAGGTAAAAGAAGGGTTAACACATAAATGAAATTCCGCCTATCAAGAGAGTTAACACATATGCATTAAGAATCAATATCAAAATATAATAGTCAAAGAGCACACTCTTTTACCAAAGTTGATTCTTGCATTGCTAGTTTCACTTTCACATGTTGCCCGGTGGTGGAGGCGGCGGGATGGGCCAAAGCTCATTAGCCATTGGAAGTGGTGGTGGCGGCGGTGGAAGTCCATATGCTCCAACAGAGGACTGAGGCTTGTTGGGCTTAAATTAACAACACCTGCAAAGTAAACATCTTGGAGTCAGTATCCCAGTGAGAGAAAAACTTTGGTGTTGATTTATCAATCTCAGTGCTTGGAACTTTGAAAGATATGGTTTCGTATGGTTCAGCTGCAACTAAAAGGTATTGATATCTCTTGTCATAAGGTTGAACTTTCTGTTCATAAGATGACATGAAACGATGTCTTGGCTTTATGTTGTCTTCAATCTCAGGATATTCAATTTGGAACAAAAGATATCTTTGCTTCAGCTCAGGATCGTATTGCTTTGTAACCCTATATCCTGGTCTACCGATTTTAACTGTTCTGCGAACTGAGACTTTGCGTTTATGTGGCTGCGGTTGCGGCTGAGCTGAAGCATTCTTAGCCTCCAAGGCAGCTCTCTTTGCCAAGTTGGTCTGATGCTTTTTACCTTGAGTATGTGCCAAGTAGTTTCCTTCGTTGTTATGCAACGTTGCACAAAGTATACACTCATAGGTTCCATAGTGATTTTGTTTGAAATAAGGATCTTTTGCAAGGTTTATGGTTTCAAGAGCAAGACGACGGAGACGATCACGGCGATCTATGGCCTCGTTCTGGCCGGTGGCGGCGCCTCCGCTACCAGGCTTCGAACCCCAGGCTCTATCCATAGCTTATAATCCGATCTCCGTTCACGCTCTTTGTCTAGGTAAGGAAACGAGAAGAACCCTAAATTGAACTTAAAAAAAAAAAAAACTCTAGGGTAAATATCTTCTGAAAGTTCTTGATGTTATTGATCTAAAATATTAAACTATTTAATTTATAGATAAAAGTTTTAATTATTCTAGGAAAACATATATGTATATTTTCTTATTGCATAAGAATTTCCCTTTCTTATTCTTGTCGTACAAGCTAAGGCACATGCTAATTAATTAATCCAACTCACGTTATTTAGCTATTTGTGTTTCCTTTTTTTCTCTAGAAGAATCAAAAGGCTCGGTGAGATTCCAAAACGTTCCCAAATCATCAAGTGCTCTTTCTCGTAGTTTGCTAAGAGAATCCTCGAATTATTTATTAATATATAGTTTTTTTTAGTAATAAAAACCCCCAACTAAAGATGAATCGTAAAAAAACTCTTCAACTTTATATTTAAACAAAAAAATCCTCAACTTAAAATTTGCTAACACAAATCCTCCTCCGTCTACATTGTCATGAAAATTAGAGGGACTACAGTTAAATTGAGATTGAAAAACGACATATATACACTTAAACAACATGAATTGTAAACAAAAACAACAAAATGTTATTCTATCCGATTATAAATCTCCATACCTTAGCTCTAAAATTTTCAAAGAGAAAAATCTAAATTGATGAACCCTAAATTATCATAGTGAGATTCTCTGATGTTTGTGTGGTGTCGAAATCGATTAAGAGAGATTCTGAAAAACGTTATGTTTTAATTTGAACTGTAGTGTGTCTAGTTTACCAACACTGTAGATGGAGGAGAATTTGCATTAACAAATTTAAAGTTGAGGAGTTTTTTTACTAAATATATAATTGAGGGGTTTTCTTACGATTTATCTTTAGTTTAGGTTTTTATTACTAAAACCCTAATCGATCATATTATATAAAGTATGGTCATTAATTATTTTTTAGAATAATATTAGTAACTAACTAACCTTTGACTAAAAAATAATTAAGGAAATAGCCATGAGTCAAAAAAAACTTTGGAAACTAATATTTGTTCAGAGATAAAATGATCCTCAAACAAAAGACAAAAATACATGTAATTAAGAGAGAGAAAAAATAAACATGAAATAAATACTAATAACACGAAATCTGGAAAAAACAAGAAAGAAATATTAGAATTCTGATGACGAAAGAGAGACATCCAACGAGAATCAAAGGAAAAAACAATGGGACCGGTTGGTAAGGACTGTTACTATGGACTTTTACTGTAGACTTTTGACTGCAGAGAATTTGACTTTAAAAACTGTAACTATAACTTTAAAGTATTTTTTAAAAGTCTCATTGGTAAATACTTCTGTAGAAGTTGTGGCTGTAAAAGTTGTGAATGTCATTTTAATATCATAACAAAAAGATTTATTAGCAAAAAAATTACAAAAGTTTTAAAATAAACTAATAGATAAATATTTGAAACAAATAAATTTATTTATCTTTATTATTTCATGCCGAAATTTAGTGTCCAAAAGTATAAGTAAGAAGTGGGATAAACTAACAAAAACTTGGAAATCATAGTACTTGTTGGAGTTGCAAGTTAAAACTCCATTGGTCATTGTATTTATAATGTTAGTGATCTTCTAAAAATAGTTTGTTGTATTAATTTAAATTTGTTGGAATATTTTTCTTGTATTGGTATGCTTTAAAATTTATGATTTTCTCTAGTTTTTGAATGATTATTGATCCACTATTATGTGCTGATCTTTTGTGTAGAATTTTCTATATTGACTATTATTGTTTTATATTGATTTTCACTATTAATAGTAAAACATATATTTTTTTATGAATGTTTTTATTTTTGTTGAATTGTTGTTTCTATTAAGTGAAATATTTATATTTTATATTGAACAATCAGTGATTCGTAAAAGTAAAAATATAAATAAAAAATAATTAATCTTAAAGAAATACTTAATTAATTAAAAAAAAATATTACAGCCCACGCAAAGTCTCATTCTTGGGACTTTAAAAAACTGGTGCAATTAAAGATAGAGAAAAAAGAATGGGCTGTTAAGACTGTAGAGAAGAAAAAAAAGAGTCAAAAGTCTAATTGGTAAATAATTGACTGTTAAAACTTTTTAAAGAAGTAACAGTTATAAAAGTGCCAACCAATCGGGGCCCATTTAATAAAATAGCATGTCATACAAAAAAAATAGGAGTAGCATGTAATTAAACCATCTCTATTGGTCATTCTTTGGTGGGTGTCTAATTTTTTTTTTAATAATTAGGTTTAATTTTATTTAATTATGAGTGTCTTTAGAGCGTGTAAAAGTGTCTCTAAGTGTTTAGACACTCATAATTAAATAACACTAGAATTAATTATAAAAAAATCTTTAGACAACCACCAAAAATAACCAATGGAGATGGTTTTATGGAAGTAACGATGGTGGTTCATTGTTGATGGTTACAGAGGTGTTGATAGGGTGACTTTAAAAATAACATGAATCATGTAAAAATGATTTATCATTTGTTGGAAATATATCATGTCATTTATTAAAACAACACTTTGAATCACAATGTCTTTCTAAAAATGGGAAGTGATATTCAGATTCAAGGAATATATGGCGATGGAGGAAAAATATGAATTATAAACGGCGACGGATATAGACAAGAGTTGTTGTCGAAGAGGCTCGGTCCAGTGTTAGAGGAGATAAAGAAGGTGAATAAATAAGATCAGTTGAGGAAATAGGAGATGAGGCGGTAACGGAGGTGTTGGTGTTGACGACGGTAGTTCAAGTTTGGTGGTAGTGGCAGTAAATATTGATGAAAGTGGTGGGTCAAAATTAGCGAGGTTCGGCATTGATAGTGGTGGTGATTGTGATACTAGTGAGATTCGACATATGTTTACGTAATTATATAAGTTTATCTTTTCTTATTGTCAGAATTTGTTTTCCATCTTACCCACTTTGAGATTATAAGGTATAACACACTCTTCCGATGGATGTAAATAATTGATTAAAATCCAATAATATAACCTATGAATATTTATGAATATCATTACTTATAATAACAAAAAAATTGTATAATTTATATATAGGTAGACATTTATATTATATGATTTGATGCTAGATAACATAACTACAAATAGTGTTTTATATTGTGCATTATGCATAAAATCTATTTAAAAATAATTAAAATGCTGTATTTTCTAAAATTAAAACATATAAGTTTATAAAACTTTAGTTAAGCTTACAAAAATTAAATTAATTGTAGTTAAACTTACAAAAATTAAATTATTGTAGTTAAGCTTACAGCGGTTGCTATAACCGATGCATTAATTTGCATCGCCACTTTTGATATCAATTATATAAGTGATGGTAACTCATTTGTATCATTCGATAACCGACGTAAGTATATATAAAAAAATAAATGATGCTATCCATATATTTTTTTGTAGCAAAGCAAGAGGTACATAAATCATTTTCATCTAAATATATAAAATATTTTATATTATTTTTCACTAAAATTTATAATGTTGTATTTTATAAGTTTACTCACATCTAACTATCCACACATATAATTTTCAAAATTTAAACAAAATTAATTATCTCATTGATTAATGTTGAATCTTTATTAATTTTCTATATTAAGATATTTTAGATAAAACCTCTAGAGTTGATCAATATTTTTCATATTCATAGTTTTGTATTAGAATACGGAATAAGTTTAATCACTAAAATTTACATACTTAAGTGAAAAGAAAATAGATATAGTAAAGATGTGTAAGAGAGTTAACTAATAAAATATGAGACAAAAATCATTGATAAAACTGCATATGCATTGTCAAAAGTTTATGTTTTAGAAAAAAAAAACTAACAAAAAACTCATGGACATATTTTTTCTTAATGATTATGAATATTTCAAAAACATTTAGGTGAAAAAGAACCAATTATTTATATATATATTTAATTGTTATGTTGACTATTTAAGGGATTCTCTTTAAAGAAGTCTTTAAAGAAGATAAATGGACTTTGATATGGTTGCAGGTCATGGAATATTGTAGAGATGATAATGAACATGATATGTATATGAATACCATATAAAAACTAATGTGAAAAAGAGAGGAGAAATACATAATGAAATGTTATCAGTTAAGATATAGGAAATGAAGTCATAGTCAAAAATAATATAAATGGTAGGAATATGATAATAAAGTTGTATGTGTTCGGAGAATGTTTAGTGGTTAAATTAGAATATTATTGATATTATCTCATTATCATAAAGTTATATTATCTCATTTTCTCTCTTAAAATGGAAAAATATGTTGACTTTAATTAACATGATAAAATTACAATGATCTTTTCCTATAAAGTGAAAATGGCATGTTGATGGTTGTGGTTAAAAACTAAATATTGTTTTCTTCAGGTTGGGCAAGTTGAGCAAACCTTGAGTTTTTGAAGTTACTCTGACGAAATAAAAACTACAATTTGCTAACTAATAAAAGTAGAAAAGGTTTTTGTAAGAAAACAAAAGAAATACTTTGATTTGGTATTGTGAGATGATGTTATTAAAAATATAGAAGTTTTGTTGTAATTTGAAAGATGTTTGGAGACTTAATTTTTAGTTTTAGCATTTATGTATTTATAGAATTTTAATCTAAGCAGTAATTTGATTGAGAACAAATATTTATCATTGCAATTTGCAAAGAAGAAGAAAATGAAAATAATTTACCTTATACAATGTGGTTTCATTGAAAAGTTCGTACCGAACCGCATCATATCACGTATGTAAACAACATTCCCCATGAATGGCTCTTTTGAATTTTAATTAAAAGCTGTTGACAAAAAAAAAAAAAAAGGAGACAATGAAAATAATTTACCTTATACAATGTGGCTTCAACCAAAAAATAAATACCATATTATGTTTTAGTCTTAATATTGTTTGAATTTTGTATTTGATAAAAAAATTTCTTCTCAATAGTACGTAATTTGTAAGATTCAAACAGTTTTAAAGTACTTTATATATTATTACCAATACTAATATAGATATATTACTATTTTGAAATATATCATTAATAATCGTATATATTTCACCAAAGTTTATCGAACAAACTAATG